GATGTCCTCGGCCTTGCGAAAACCTGTCGGTGTTGCCGGGCTGTGGCCCGAAGAGCCATCAAGTTTCTCTGCTTGGGGACACGAAGGCCAGCCATCCAGTGTGACCTTGCCCGACGTGCCAATGTCGGTGCAAGGGGTCACAGCTTCCGTTCGCTCCTCCTATAGGTCTTTCTTCAAGTTGACTTCTGATTTTGATAACTTTTGTGTTTTCCAAGCCCCAGGATCCAACCCCCAAGGATCCAACCCTAAAAACGAGCGTGTTGAATTGAATACGCAGCATGGGGTAAGGCTAAGCAGCTGGCATGGGATCGGTCTGATGATGCAGCTGGAAATCTGTGCTACATTTGCTACTATGACGCTGGAAACTACGCTTATGCTGGTTTCATGCGAATGCTCCTGACGCCTGAAGAGAGGCAAGAGTGCTATCGTGGGGTATCTATGCCTCGTGGCCTCGTGAAGAACTACTTGGTGACACTCTCGAATTGGCGCCTGACTTCTCACGCTGGCGATGAGATATCCTGAACGCTTTGAGAATTGCCGGTGCAAATGTATGCGTAAGGGGCATCGAGAGATCGTTTTGGCGATATGCATCAGATTCTCCTCGCAAAAGAATGCCACCAACACAAGAAGCGGTGGAAGCCAAGACATGGAAGTCGACGGCCAACCTGAAGAAGAACACGGTGATGCTGTCCAAGATCCTCTACAGGAAGGGCGAGAAGGGGCCGTAACGTATCTGTTGAACAATCTGGATATACTTCGCAATGGTGTGATGGAGATTGAAAACCAAAGACTCACGTTTTGCGTAGTCCGCGGAAGTTCTGCTCATACCTTTCCTCAGTGCGACAATCACATCGTCACACGCGAGACAGTTGCTCGGGGAATTGAAGCTATCAGGAATGGCCTTCTTCGCTAGCTACCCTAGACAAGATCATCGTTCTCCACGTGCTCAATCTGCTTCAGCATCTACTATACCCAGAGTGACAGCATGGAAGTTGATTCGACAGAGAATGCGAGCGCAGCATCTTCAGAGCGAAGGCCGAAGGCGAAAGCCCGACCACGTCGTGGAGGGGACGCCGTTCGAAGCGACTTGATATACACCATTGTTCGCATTCGATGCTGACAGCGGCCAGTTTGCAAACCCTGGATACGAGTCAATCGGAGGCGGACGAGCCATTCGTGGAGGCATCCTGGACTTGATTCCTTTGAAGGGAGCCAAATTCATCCATGATCGATGGGATATCGTCCAAGACGTCGTCGTGCGGAACCTCCGCTATCGCACCATCAAAAGTGCGAACTGGGCACTAGCGTGTATTCAATCAAATCTCCGACATCGGATTGCAAGAGCCGCAGGATCTGAATGGCTGGGCAACCGATATCGTGTCAGGTTTCAAGAAAAGTCATCAAACCTGATGAAGGAGGATGGGTGTTGATCGACGACCTCGTGAGAAGGGAATCGCTGTGGTCATCCCAGTCGTGCAATTTCGGACACATTGTCACCGTCTGACCCTGAGCAAAGAAAGCGGATTTACAACGAAAGGCTGCAGCTGCTATTCCAGGGCAACATGGCAAACGCCAACAAGCGGCACAAAGCTAAGATCAGACTACAGTTTCTGGGAGTGAGGGTGAAGGAACCGCCTGCCGGGTCTTCTCCTCTGGGTATTCCCAATTCCAGTCGTCTTGTCTCGATGAGCGACCAGATCACGGAGATCCAGATGAATGACCATACTCGCAGACAGCAGCGTTACCTCAGTACGTGCGACGGCTGGGTCAGACCCTGGGCTGTTCGTGCTACAAGTGGTCACTCGACACATGTCAATGCGGCAAACAATTTGCTGGAGTTGGACAAGGACAAGTTCGCGATTTCTCCTTCGATGAGTTTGTTGAACCGTCTGGGCGGAGCTTTCCATGCGACCGCGTGTCGGAGCATGGACTCCATATCAAGGGACGGTGTCATTCCTGGTTCGGAAGGCCCTTTTGGGGTTCGACCAGCGCCATCAGCGCCATCAATCATGGGAAAACGCACGCCTTCACAGCTACTTCGGCATCTTTGCACCGTTTGACAAGAGGAACGCTACAACGAAGACACGGGTGCATGGCTACGGAAACGAGCGCATGCCGCTTGCCGTACTTCACATCCCCTCTGCCTCTGCAGATCTTGTCCGAGAAGGAGGACGAACTACAGACAGTGGGGTGATCATCATTGGAAGACAAGTGCCCTTCTCCTTCGTCAAGGAAGTTTGGTTTGCGTCCCGGACACAAGGGACAGCCACTCATTTGCCTTAGTGGAGAAGATCTTCGATGAAAGGCTGGAAGACGACTTGGTGTTGGAGTACAAAGCATCGCCGCTCCTGTCGGAATCCGACCGAAGCAGAACGCCCGGTCGAACCATGGAATTGCTTTGCGAAATGCCGACTGGCCGTCACAATGCAGCAAAAGAGCAACTCCTGCGCACTGTCGCTGGGACCATTGACATGCATCGCGAAGACACTCGACGCCATCGCCACATGAGAGAAGGCATCTTTTTCCTCATCAAGCACTGGCGATGATCTTCGGCGGGAATCAGATGGAAGGAGGATGAGAATTTGTCCTGGTTGCTACAACATCTCACTCGCTTGCTTCACAAGATGTACCCTTTGTTGGTCATTGTTCATTTCCTGCGGTCGCTACCAAGGAACACCGCAAAGGGAGACTCCTTCGGAGATCCCTAGTGAAACCATTGCTCAGACGATGAAAGCTGCAGCAGCAGCTGTTCCTGCCGCAACCGAAGAGGAAGAGCAAGAAGCATTGGAGACGGCTACGGTTGCTGAACCGGAAATGGAGCTACGTGAGGTCGACGAAGATGTGCAAGTTTCTGAAACTGACCAGGAACTTGACGCCGAAATGATGGTTGAGGTTGAGGAAGAACCAGGATTCGACGACAATGTCCCTACCAATGTGGCTGACGAATGTCGACCCATCCTTGTACCTGGCCGCGCATTGGCTATCGACCCTGAACTCCAAATTGCACGTTCGGCAATGCAACCACCGTACTACCACAACAAAGGTCTGGGTTCTGCAAAGAGGCAAACAGAATTGCATTTTCCTACATGGCGTACGTCTTGGTCAGGGCAATCTACAAGTCGTGGCCCGGACGCTCAAAGTGGCTTACCATGCCATTATTCCACATGAAGGAGATGTTTGCTCAGGGGAATCGTTATGACGTTCTTGGTCAGTGGCCGGGCGCTGTGTCGCAGGTCGATCATGACACAGGAATCAATAAGGACGTGACTGATGAAGAAATCATCCAATTCGCAAAGGAGAAGAAGGACGCGGATGACCCCAATGGTGTCTATCTCGTGAAACGCTTCCGAGCGAATCAGATCGTGTCCAGATGGGCTACAGCCGAGATACTTTCAATCCCCAGACCTACATCAAGCGGGACGAAAACGCGAAAGTCTTGCACTACAGCTGCTTGAATGTTTTTTGCGAGATCATCCCCAAGATCACGGGATATACTTCGTTCTCTCTCATCAGACCTTCACCAACTGGACCAGTGGACTTCCTTTACATCGATCCTGCGGGTATCCTGATGTTGTCGAGCACAAAGGACAACTCCGCGCAGACGATTGCAGTGATCATCGATCACAACATCCAGGTCCCTGCGAAGTTTGTTGACAAGCTCAACTCGAGCACGGTCGAAAAGAAGAGAAACCCTCAAGCACATCAAGCACGTCCTGCACTACATCACGTTTCGGCCTCTGATTATCTTCCAAGTGGGCAGACGTCCATTATGGATACTACCATCACGCCTGAAGAAACCGAACGAGTCGCAGCTCCAAAGGCAGCTCCCAAGGCATCCACACAAGATCGCGACGATCGACGGGGATGGAACACCAATTCCTACCACGATGCCACAGGCAAAGGGAAAGGTAAATCCAAGAACCCCGGAGAGAATCGTCGGCCATGGGAACGAGATGATCCCGAGCGTACTCGACAGTGGTACAGGGACTGAAGCGAACATTCGATTGTGACCTCGGCTATTTGAACGTGATCTTCAATCACGAATGGCCTTTTCTTCGGCGACGCCTGATTCTGTATGTCATTTCGGGGGATCGTCACTGATGTAGATGAGTGTCACATCATTCCTAATTGGGATAAAAGGCTCATGTTCAAAACATTTCAAAGTTGCGGCGGATCAATCACTAGTGTTGCCAATCGCGCCATCTTCCGGTTGAATAGTGCTGGAGGCACGACTCATGGGGGGTGCGAACGGACCTCGATACCTTGTCCGATTCTATGGTGTCGCTATAAGAGCTATGAGTTGTACCGTGTACAGTGAAAAGCAACGTCACTTCTCGCGTACCTTGACTCTAAGTGTTCACCCATGGGCTCGCTTGCCGAACCATGGAGCAACACTGTATGTTACATCCCGCCAACGCAACTTTGGCTCAAGAAACTGATGCCACAAGCTAACCATAGCTTGTAGCCTCCTGTGACCTCAAGAGGAACAGAGCCATCCCGTGCATAGACGGCTCGTCGCGCCTCTCGAACGAGAAAACCAGCGAGCATCGAGTCTGCCTGCCAGGGATTAGGGTCTGAAGCGTGGAAGTGTGGAGCGAAAGATTATCGAGTCTGTTGAGGGCAACCACTCATCCATTAGCTCGGTGGGGTGAGCGAACAAGGGCAACATCAAGATCAAATCCCCACGCAAATCATCACAGCGAGTAGTGCGATGCGCTCTGCCCGCAAGTCTGCTTGGATACACCTTTCGAGACATAGGCTCAGAGATTGCCAACAATTAGCATAAACTAGCTGCAATTAGCTTATCGAGTGGTGTTTCTGCAGCGCCGTGGCAAATATGGAGTCGATACCTGTTTCCTGGCATAGTCTCCACTGCGAACTGAATTTGCTCGGAGGCAGCTTGGCAGCCTAACGAGGCGACGCTCGTCACGTCACCCGGCATAAATTAATGGGATCAGATAGCGTTCTGGCATAGGCTGTCGATTGTTCTGAGGAACGGCATGCACGTGCTCATTGCGTACACCATGAAGCCGAAAGACCGCTTTGACTACGTTGCCACCGCCGCCCACTTCGCTGCCGAGTTCAACACCCGCACCAATGTGAAGCTATGCAACTCGAAGTCTGTGCACGCCTTTGTCTACCACATCGATCCTGATTCCGAGCAGATGAGGATCGCGTATCCGACGCTGCTGTTCGACCGCAACATCGTCGACGGCCGCGGCATGATGTGCTCCTTCCTCACCTTGTCCATCGGCAACAACCAGGGTCGCGAGCTGAGTCGGTCTCCATTTGACATGCTGCTGTTATGGGAGTGCGCGGGTGGGTTAATTACGTGCAGGGTCCGCCGTGGCAACTCATTTGGGGCTACTTCTGCTACTACTACTACTGCTGCTGCTGCTACTACTACTACTACCACCACTCCTAATCACAATACTACTACTGCTGCTACTGTTACTGCTACTGTTACCGCTATACTGTTACTGCTACTGTTACTGCTACTGTTACTGCTACTGCTACTGCTACTGCTACTGCTACTGTTGCTGCTACTGTTGCTACTACTGCTGCTGCCACTGCTACTGCTACTGCTTCTGCTCCTGCTCCTCCTGCTCCTCCTGCTCCTCCTGCTCCTCCTGCTCCTCCTGCTCCTGCTCCTGCTCCTGCTCCTGCTCCTGCTCATCCTCCTCCTGCTGCTCCTGCTGCTCCTGCTGCTCCTGCTGCTCCTGCTGCTCCTGCTGCTCCTGCTGCTCCTGCTGCTCCTGCTGCTCCTGCTGCCCCTGCTGCCCCTGCTGCTCCTGCTGCTCCTGCTGCTCCTGCTGCTCCTGCTGCTCCTGCTCCTGCTCCTGCTACTGCCACTGCTACTGCCAATGCCACTGCTACTGCTACTGCTACTGCTACTGCTACTGCTCCTGCTGCTACTGCTACTGCTACTGCTACTGCTACTGCTACTGCTGCTCCTGCTACTGCTCCTCCTGCTACTGCTCCTCCTGCTACTGCTCCTCCTGCTACTGCTCCTGCTCCTGCTCCTGCTCCTGCTCCTGCTCCTGCTCCTGCTGCTACTGCTACTGCTACTGCTACTGCTACTGCTACTGCTACTGCTACTGCTACTGCTACTGCTACTGCTACTGCTACTGCTACTGCTACTGCTACTGCTACTGCTACTGCTACTGCTACTGCTACTGCTACTGCTACTGCTACTGCTACTGCTACTGCTACTGCTACTGCTACTGCTACTGCTACTGCTACTGCTACTGCTACTGCTACTGCTACTGCTACTGCTACTGCTACTGCTACTACTGCTACTGCTACTGCTACTGCTACTGCTACTGCTACTGCTACTGCTACTGCTACTGCTACTGCTACTGCTACTGCTACTGCTACTGTTACTGCTACTGCTGCTCCTACTACTACTACTACTACTACTACTACTACTACTACTACTACTATGACTACTACTAGTATGACTACTACGACAACAACAACTACTACACTACTCCTACTGCTACTCCTGGCCCTAATCCTAGTCCCAGTCCTACTCCTACTACTATGTATTACCATTATCAGCACGACCACGACCACGCAAGACTACGACTCCTACTACTGCTACTGCTGCTGCTGCTGCTACGGCTACCGCTACGGCTGCGGCTACTGCCACCGTGTCGCGGTGCCGCTGCCGCTGCAGCTGCCGCTGCCGCTACTGATGCCGCTATTACCGGTACCGCTATTGCTGCTACCGCTACCGCTGCCGCTGCTGCTGCTACGACGACTGCTAACTGCTGCCACCACAACTACCTATTACCTGCCACCTACTACCCAGTTACTACCTACTACCTACTGCGTACTACCTACTACCTACTACCTACCAGCTACGAGCTAGTATTTACTACCTCCTACCACGACTACGACGACGACGCCGACGGCTGCGCCTGCGGCTGCGACTGCGATTACGCGTACGCCTACGAGGACGACAGCAACGACTACGACCACGCTGCGGCTGCGGCTGCAGCTGCGACTACAACTACGACCTGACTACGAGTACGACGAGGAGGAGGAGGAGGACGTTTACTACTATTATACGACGACGACACGGTTACGACAAGGACGACGACTACGACAACGACAATGGCTACGTTTGGGGACGACGACCAAAGCTGCAAGTGCTGCTGCTACATTCTAGAACCAAAACCTGCTTGAAATTCTACTTGATAATACGACGATGGCATAACCGTGACAAGGATAGCGACGACGAGGATGACATGCTGTTTCGCACAAACACCACACACAGTCCCAAAATCTGAAATGCCTGTTGTATTCTTAGAGAGTCCTTTTTAAGCTGCACCCTGAATCGTAAACCTTATAGACTCAGACCTGAATGCCCAAAATTTTAAAGTCTAGACCCACTATCATAGCCGTCCACGCCACGTTCCCGTGAAAGCACCTTAATCGAATAAACGGCTGAATTTCACTTCTTATATACGCGGTCTGTACCACCCCGCCGCGCCGCACTGCAAACTGCCCCCCCACTCAACCAGGGAGGATTTCGAGAAAGTCCGTAAGGTGGCATCTGTGGCAAGTGTTCGTGGCAAAGCTTGCTTCTGTTTTCCCTTCACCGTTTTTTGTAGGCGCCAGCGCCCTTGAAATGAGAAAACTGCTCCGTTAGGTGCCACAGGTACATATGGCAAAGGTTATGGCAAAGGTACCTGTGGCAAAGGTTGTGGCAAAGGTTATGGCAAAGGTTTCCGTGGCAAAGCCGTGGCAAAGGTTAAGAGCGAAACGTGAGGAATGAGTTTTGCCATAACATTTGCCACTGTAAAAACCTTTGCCACGGAAAACCTTTGCCACGGCACCTTTGCCACGAACCTTTGCCATATGTACCTGCGGCACCTCATGGAATTGGAACCTTTTCCGCGGTACCACGACCTTTGCCACCGGGATCTCGTGCACTTCTTCTCCCCCCCCGCCTTCCTCCCTTTCCGGGCTCAGGCGGTGCTCCCACAACCCTGATTTTGGCACTTTTGTTTCGGGTTGCCCCTTGCCCATCCGCTATTGCTGACACCAGCAGCAATGCTCCCCCTTGTCCTGGATGCTTTTAGCCGTGCTCCCTACCTGTACCGAAATTTTGCTACACAGCGTTTGTGTTGTATGTTAAATAATCTTAGATGTTTTTGGCTGCACACTTCCTTTCCCCAATTATCTTGCTGGCTTGCTGTTCATTGTGTTGGTATTTTCTGCTTTTCCCCTAGTCCTACCTTTTGTTGGAAATTATTTTCTGTCCTCTGCGCTTTGTGGACTTCATGCTTGGATGTGGTCTGGTGTTGGATGTTGGTGCTGTGCCTCGTGTGTCCCTGTGCGTGTTGGTTTGTTTGCAATCCGCCCCATTGCCTTATTTTGGATGTTAACCGTTTGCTGTTTATCCTCATGTCATCAGATGTTTGTTGAAGCCTGTGTTCAAAACAATGTTGCTGTGCCGCCGTTGTGTTGAGAGTTTGGCGATGTGAAACTTCCTACTGCCTCTAGTTTTGCGTCACGTTTGTGTTGGATCCGTTTTGTGGTGTTTTTTTGGTGTTGTATGTATTTTGTTTGTTTCCTGCGGGCCTCCCTTGTGGTGCTGTGCCTGTCCCGTTCAGGCACTAGATGTTTGCTGTGCACCCTCCTGGTGGCTGTCGTCGTTCGCTCTGCTAACCCGTTGTGTTGGATGGGTTACTGTTCCCCCTGTGCGGTGTTCTTCGCTCGGTTCACCGCTTGCGTTCAGATGGGGTCTTTCCTTGTCTTGGGATTCTTTTATCGGGGAGCTGCCCGATGCAGAAAGACAGAGTGCTAGGTTCGTGCTGCCCGAAAATGGTGGCACTAGTTAATCGTCTGCGTCGTCGTCATGGTCATCGTCTTCACCACCGTCGTCGTCGTCGTACGTCGTCATAGTAGTGGAGTGGCAGTGGCAGTAGCAGTGGCAGCAGCAGTACCAGTGGGCAGTGGCAGAAGCAGTAGCAGCAGTAGTAGTAGCAGTACGAGCAGCAATAGTAGTAGTAGAAGTCGTCCTCGTAGTCGTCGTCGTCGTAGTAGTAGTAGTAGTAGTAGTAGTAGTAGTAGTAGTAGTAGTAGTAGTAGTAGTAGTAGTAGTAGTAGTAGTAGTAGTAGTAGTAGTAGTAGTAAGTAGTAGTAGTAGTAGTAGTAGTAGTAGTAGTAGTAGTAGTAGCAGTAGTAGTAGTAGCAGTAGTAGTAGTAGTAGTAGTAGTAGTAGTAGTAGTAGTAGTAGTAGTAGTAGTAGTAGTAGTAGTAGTAGTAGTAGTAGTAGTAGTAGTAGTAGTAGTAGTAGTAGTAGTCGCGGCAGCAGTAATACCAATAATGTTGATAGTAAGTGTTGTCGCAGTATTGGTAGTAGTGGTGGTGGTAGCAGAAGCAGCAGTACTAGTAGTAGAAGAAATAGTGGTGGTAGTAGTAGTAGTAGTAGCAGTAGTAGTAGCCGCAGCACGCAGTTCAGTAGTAGAAGAAATAATGGTAGGAGTAGTCGTAGTTGTAGTAGTCGTTGTCGTGAACGTAGTAGTAATAGGTGACGAGGTAGCAGCAGTCGCAGCAGTAGTCGCCATCGTCGTAGGAAGTGCCAGGTAGCAGGTAGTTGGTCGTAAGTCGTAGATAGTAGGTGGTGGTAAGTGGTAAGTGGTAGTATAGCAGTAGTAGTAGTAGTAGTAGTAGTAGTCGTCGTCGTCGGAGAAGAAGTAGCAGCAGTAGTCGTAGCTTTATAACAGTACCAGTAGCAGTAGCAGGAGCTGTAGTTGTGGCTGTAGCAGTGGTTTTCGTTTCGTTTTACACGCCGCTAAGGAGGGTGGTGGTGGTGGTGGTGGTGGTGGTGGTAGTGGAAGTGGTGGAAGGTCGTAGAAGTCGTAATAATCGTAGCTTTTATAATTAGTAGTAACAGCAGTAGCACAATGCCTCGATGGCCACCAAGAACGGTAGGTTTGCATCCGGATTGCTACTCTATTGCACCATGAAAGTCCACAGCCCCCGGGCTGAACAATTAACCCCCCCCCCCCGCGCACTCCCATAGCTGCTGTTGCACTGTGGGTAGAGGAAGGCACTAGGAGGCAGCCGTGGTATGATTTGAAAGACGGGCACATGCGGCATGATGCAGGTATGGGCGATGTCGAGTACGGCAAGGTCTACGACTTCTACCTGCCCCCGGCCTTCCTGCGCCTGTCTGATGGGCCCGCCGTGAACGTGGAGGATATGTGGCGAATCTTGGGCAAGGGCACCAGCAACGGTGGTCTCGTGGTTGGAACCATCATCAAGCCCAAGCTCGGCCTGCAGCCCAAGCCTTTCGGCGAGGCCTGCTATGCCTTCTGGCAAGGTGGTGACTTCATCAAGAACGACGCAGCTGGAAAAAAAGCTTTGGTTAAATAGACTACATGAACAATGAACAATGTTAGCGTGACATATTCGATTTAAAGGGAGCAAGGGAATGTTGTTGAAGAGCTTCCATGCAGCCCAGGATGAGCCACAGGGCAACCAGGTGTTCTGTCAGATGAACGAGTGCATCCCCGAGGTCGTGAAGGCCATGAGGGCCTGCATCGAGGACACCGGTGTTGGTAAGTTGTTCTCGGCCAACATCACCGCGAATGATCCAATGGAGAAGATCGCCCGTGGCAAGTACTGCCTGTCCCAGTTCGGGCCCCTGTCCCAGAACTGCGCCTTGTTGGTGGATGGATACGTTGCAGGAGGCACCGCCGTGACCTGTGCCCGCCGCAACTTCCCCAAGCAGTTCTTGCACTACCACCGAGCCGGACACGGATCCGTGACCAGCCCCCAGACCCAGCGTGGCTACACCGCTTTCGTGCACACGAAGATCTCCCGAGTCATCGGTGCATCCGGCATCCACACCGGCACCATGAGCTTTGGCAAGATGGAGGGCGATGCTTCCGACAAGAACATCGCCTTCATGCTGCAGGACGATGAGGCCGATGGCCCATACTACCACCAGGAGTGGAAGGGCATGAAGCAGACCGCTCCCATCATCTGTGGCGGCATGAATGCGCTGCGCCTGCCGGCCTTCTTCGAGAGCCTGGGCCACTCCAACGTGATCCTCACTGCCGGCGGCGGCTCCTTCGACCACAAGGATGGACCCAAGCATGGTGCCATCTCCTGCCGACAGGGAGAGGAGGCCTGGAAGGCCTGGAAGGCCGGACAGTACGGCAACATCAGCCTGAGCGATGGCGTCATCGAGTTCGCCAAGACGCACGAGGAGATCAAGGGTGCCTTCCTCACCTTCCAGAAGGACGCCGACCAGATCTACCCAGGCTGGAAGCGGCTTTTTGCCCCGCCGGGACTGGTGAGGGGCTCAGTTGCATACACTACCACTGCCATTACCACTATCACTATCAATATCACTCTCACTATCACTCCTCCTCCCTCTCCTCCTCCTGCAGTACCACACCTGCTGAACGGAGGCCGGTGTTGCAGAGCTTTCCGCTGCCTTGGCGAACCACAGCTGGTTTGACATCGCGGCGGCCCTCAAGGACGCTTTTGTAGGTGCTGCGACGGTGTTTGGGGTGATATTGCTACTGCTGCTGCTGCCGCTGCTGCTGCTGCTGCTGCTACTGCTACTGCTACTGCTACTGCTACTGCTACTACTGCTACTACTACTACTGCTACTGCTACTGCTACTGCTACTGCTGCTACTGACTACTGCTACTACTGCTGCTACTACTGCTGCTGCTGCTGCTGCTACTACTGCTACTGCTACTGCTGCTACTGCTGCTGCTGCTGCTACTGCTGCTGCTGCTGCTGCTACTGCTGCTGCTGCTGCTGCTACTGCTACTGCTACTGCTACTGCTACTGCTACTGCTACTGCTACTGCTACTGCTACTGCTACTGCTACTGCTACTGCTACTGCTACTGCTACTGCTGCTGCTACTGCTACTGCTACTACTGCTGCTGCTGGTGGTGCTGCTGCTACTACTGCTGCTGCTGCTGGTGCTGATGCTGGTGCTGGTGCTGGTGCTGGTGCTGGTGCTGGTGCTGGTGCTGGTGCTGGTGCTGGTGCTGGTGCTGGTGCTGGTGCTGGTGCTGGTGCTGGTGCTGGTGCTGGTGCTGGTGCTGGTGCTGGTGCTGGTGCTGCTGCTGCTGCTGCTGCTGCTGCTACTGCTGCTGCTACTGCTACTGCTACTGCTGCTGCTACTGCTACTGCTACTGCTACTGCTACTGCTACTGCTACTGCTACTGCTACTGCTACCGCTACCGCAACCGCAACCGCTACCGCTACCGCTACCGCTACGACGACAACGACGAAGACGACGACGACTACTACTGCCACTTCACTACATGCTCTGCAGGGGATGGGATTCAGCGGTTTCAGCTGCAGTAGTTGAAACAGGTCCTTAACAGTGGCTTAGAGTAGCACGAGGCTGAATCCCTCTACTGCTTGCTTACTTACCCACTCAGTCACTCCTGTTTACTGGTACGGTTCGGAGCGGTTCCAGGCTTGTTTACTTACTTGCCGACTTGCTTACTTCTTAGGGCGTTTTACTTGGGGCTGCAGCCCTGCGGTTACAACTATTCGGGGCCAAACGGCCACGACTACGAGACTACCACGACGTCCTACTCCCACTGCTGCTGCTGCTGCTGCTGCTGCTGCTACTCTGTTGTTGTTGCTACTGATATACTGCTACTGTTGTTGCTACCGCTACGGCTGCTGCTTTTGCATCTACTGTCTACTATGACAACTACTACTAGTACTAGCACAACTCCTCCTTTTCTTCCTACTGCTCCCGCTGCTACTCTTGCTACTTCTGCTGCTACTGCGTACGGGTAGTGCTAGTGCTAGGGCGATGATGACAACGACTACTTGTTACGTACCAGAGAGTATGTGTTATCTTCTTGTTTCTGCTGTCATCGCCAGCAGTATCATCTGTTCCTTGCTGCCCTGTTGCGCACCCCCTTGCTCTGTCTCGAGGAGGTCCTGTGCACGTTACAGCACTGTTGAGATTCAGACCATATACCGTCCACTGTTCCGGTTTTGGAACGGATGTGGGCTACGTGTTCATTCAGAGAGTCCGCGCGAAATGACGAACACTAGAGGCTAGCGCAGGCTTGTGAATGAAACGCCCTGTAAGTCTTGACGGTGCTTCGGTCTAGTGCTTTAGGGTCTCGGGGTCCACTAAAACATACAGACTCCTGGCACCCGGACTCATACCCTGAATTGCCGACTGCCAGCACGCGTTGAGGTGCAAGTAGCCTTCCTGGCGCGTGACTGGCGCGTTTGCTCGTGTCGATTTCTGTCAGAAAGGATCTGCCGCCAACGCAGCTCGCGCTGATCAAGGCCTTACGCCAGTCAGCAGCCACCAGATCTGTTCCTCGCTGAAGATCGCTGAAGGACGCCCTGGGCTATGGCATGGGCAAGGGCTTTTACAAAGGCTTCCGCTGTGTGCAACCGTGTGTTTGATGCCATTGACAATTGACACTGTTTGCTGCACATCACAGCGGGACACAACAAACAACAAGCAAAGAAAGCAGCAACAAGCGGAGTGTAAAGAAACGGCATAAAACATAAAGCAACAAAGTAAGCAACACATAGCGGAGCGCAACAAAACAGCAACAAACAAAAAGCAACAAGGATATGTAACCAAAAAGCGAAAAAGCGGAGCGCAAAGCAGCAAACAAAAATCAACAAGCCAAAAAACAAAAACAATAGGCATCAAAAGCAAAAAGCACAAAAAACAAACACAAAAACAACTCACATGATTCGGATTCCTGCTGAAAAGCACCGACCATGCCGAACTTCTTATCAACTTCTTGTGCAACAGCACAGCCAAGCAGGCCAAGCATCATCAAACATGGTACTGAAGCGACGCTCCGGTTTCTGGAACTTCCCGTAGCCTCGAAGTCTGAATTCGTTTTCTGTCTTGTTGTGTTTTTTGGGTCCCGTTTTTTTTCCTAAGTCTGGTCTGGTCTGGGGCCTTGGCAGGTCCGGTCCCCTGGTTGCCTGTGCGCCTCTTGCTCTGGTCCTTGGTCCTCTGGTCCGCTAGAACCTGGATCAATATTGCAGGATTCAAAGCCTGGTTCAAACCCAGGTTCGAACCCAGGTTCGAACCCAGGTTCGAACCCAGGTTCGAACCCAAGTCCAAACGGATTCAAACCTGGGTTCAAACCAGGTTCAAACCCAGGTTCTACTAATACGACTGCTGCTCCTATTATTATTGTTCTTGTTATTATTGTTGTTATTGTTATTCGTATTGTTATTGTTATTATTATTAACAATAGTATTATTATTAGTATTGTCATTTTTATCAATATTACTAGTATTATTATTATTATTGTTATTATTATTATTATTATTATTATTATCATTATTATTATCATTATTATTATCATTATCATTATCATTATTATTATTATTACTATTATTATTATTATTACTATTACTATTATTATTGTTACTAGTATTATTAGTATTATTAGTATTATTAGTATTATTAGTACTAATATGTTCTGCATGTTCAAACTCTGCTGTACCAAAAGAGCAGGCAACCGTCCTAGGCATGACAGTCTCTTTTGCGCTGCAACGGGCAACAGAGCGGTTCGCCGAAGGTGTTGTTCGTTTAAAATCGAACTCGCCATTTCGGGTCCCTTCGGGCATTGGAAAAGCCTCTGCCGCCTTAACTTAGAAATACAGCAGCGCGTGTCCTGCAAGAGTTCGGTTCCTTATTAAACGGGGGCACAGGGGACGCCACACGAAACACGCTTGTTTCCGGACCCATCCGTCAATGTCCGCGTTCATGAGGCTTTGCCTCGACTTGCAAAATAAACTCGCAGAAAACAAGGGCGGATCGCCAGTCCGCCCGCTGTACACCGGAGCCTTTGGCTCCCATTCTGGCGGAACGCCTGCGCACAGGGCTTATACTCCCGAAGAGCTCTTACAAGAGCTTCAGAGGCAGTATACCTGCCTACGGCTGACCTTTTGCTGAATCATCAGCTGGTAGGTCGGCCTCAGTCTGGGCGGTATCGCCTGTGTCCTCCTCCCTCTCAGGCGTCGTAGAAGGGGCCGAGGGATGAGCTTCCGGCGGATCGTTGCTTTGCTCAGGAGGAACTGGCCGCCCACCTGGATCTTCCGGTGAATCGGCAGGAGGGTGCGGAAGATCTGGCCGCCCGGCTGCGGTTGTACCGGTCGGTGCCGACGAGCTCGCAGTCGAGGTACTCGTTGTAGTGTCCGCCGACTTTGAAGCTGTCGTCGGCTCCGCCCTTTCCGCATCAACCCGGACTCTGGCTTCAAGATAGTCGAGGACCCCTTGCCTTTCCAGCCGCCCCAGCCTGTTCAGCAGGTAGAGCCAACGTGGGAGCGACCCAGGCTCATCATGGGAGGCAGGGTCCTCACCGTCTGTGAGGGCGTGGCTCGGGACTGTGGCGCCACGTTACCCTGTGCCACCTGGTGTTGCACGGCACGAAGACGGGAGCGGTCCCGCTGGAAAGCCACGGCCAGCGTCACGCCCGCCTCGAGGTCGGCGATGTACTTCGGGTCGTTCCGGGCAGTGTCATTTGTGGCCTTCACCTTGACGTTGCCCGACCCACCCTTGCCCTTCTGACCTCGTAGCTGGGCGGTACGCCTGATGGTGTCGGCTAGCAGCCCTCCCATGACAGCACTGGAGCTGCTTGCCAGGTTCTCCAGGAGTGCCCTTTGCTGCTCGGCGTTCAAACCCCTCATTCTTTGCTCCAACTCGGCGCACTCCCTTTCCAGGCGGGCCACCTCCGCGAGCTCGTCGTCGTTGAGATCGACGTCGTGCTCGGCCTCCTCCTCGTCGGACACCACGCACATGGGGCAGGAAGATCTGGAGATGAGCGCCCGAAGGAACACCGTTTGCAGAACCAATGAGTGGCTCGTCTCACAGTGTTTCCAGACCCAGTGCCCGGTGGATGCCTCTAAATAAGGGCTAAGCCTGTGGACCGCTCAAGATGCTCAAGATGAGCTTGCCTCCGGCTCTCATCCCCACCGCACTTTGCCCACTACTAGGGCGAAGGTACTGTTGAGGTTGAAGAACAGGGCGGGACGCCAGCATGTCTTTTGATCTACTGGGGGACAGCTGCTAAGTCGGTATACGGGTACGCATGAATAGCATCGGACTTCCAGCCTCCAAACCTTAACAACTTCAACGTCGTTAGTGACGACAAGCATGGCGGTGGCGCCTCCTTTTCGCAAGCTGTGGGAAGCGACGAGGTGAGCCGGGTGTCCCGGAGCTGAACTGCTACAGAGTCGGCCTCAAAGACGGAGCAACGTCGTCCTTGGCAGAAGAAGTCAAGGTCGTTGCAAAGATCGGTCCCAGGGAGGTACTCCGAAGCTCGTAGCATGAAGAGCCAGCCTAAACAGAGTGAAGTCCAGAGGGCTTTCCTTTCTGCAAGAGGGCGGTCCGACCCGTCTAGATACCGCCTAAGCCAGGCCAACATGCTAGGGGTGACGGGAACCTTACCAACTGGGGCACCGTCCCATCGGTTCATCCCAGCCAGAGCTGCCCAGAGTCGAACTCTGCCTGCTAAAGGGTCTTGATACCCCGCCGCGATGTGCGCGTAACGAATACCCGAAAGCCTTTGCTTAATACCCTGGGCGGTGCGTCCCATCACCTGGTGCAGAAAGACCGTAAAGCGAATCAACCAGTCCTCGTCTTGTTGCTTTTCGGCTCTGGTTTCTCCTTGCAAGAGCGGGGACACACCGGTACCTGACATGAACGCTGCCCATTGCTTCCAGCCCGTGTTGTAAGATCTCCTAGTGGAGTCGGCGAGCTTGCTGAGCACAGCCTCCTGTCCCACTTGGTCAAGGCAAGAAAACCTCCTCCTAGCGAAAGCCCTCTCGTCCCGAAGAACTTCTCCCGCGATGTGTCGGATCCGCCTTCCTTTTGGGCGGCCACCTACTCTGGTGTCCTCGGAGCAATCCCAAGCTGTGGGTTCAACCCCGGGCGGTGACGACCCGAACGGTACTAGGTCCAACAATTCCCGGGGATTTTCGGGGTTCCTTTCCCAAGCTCTTAGCCAAATTTCAAACTGTGCCTTTGCCTCTTCCTCTTCGGGGTCGAGGCAATTGCCAACCTTGTCCGCCGGAGTCTGCCATATGCCCAGCTGTTAAGATTTGTACATAGAACGCCCGCACCTTTGGAGAGCCTAGGCTACGGTACATAGAATGTATAGAATGACTATGCAGCGCCTTTGGCTTAAGCAGGAAAAGCGTGAACGCTCAGGGTCTTACAGTTTAACTTGGTAGCGGAGCAAGAGAGCCTGAAGATCCAGGAAACCCGTGGGCCGAAGGAAACCCAGGAAAATTCGGATTGGAACCGAAAGAAGTAACCAAGGATACCCGGAAACCGTACAGTAGAAACTTTGGAGTCGCCATGACGGTGATTATGGAGAAGCTGTGCAAGGACCTCTTGTGGATTATGTTGGGATTCTGTATGAGTGTATCGCTGAGCCAAGGAAGCACACAGGAAACAAGTTGCTTTTGTATGAACATGTCTCACCTTGCTCTCCGACCGCAGCCGTACCCCCTCAAAGAGGGAAAGGTCACATGTGTATGGGAACATTTGCTTCCAGGATGGCGGAAGAACAGGAAGTGGAACAGCCAAAGAACACCCGTATCACGGAAATTCTCACCCTTCCACCTGTTGGACGACCAGCAGAAACAGCAGGAGTCCCAGCAGAACCCAGCCAACCGGTCAGGACCGAAGACCCAATGCTGGAAAGGATCAGTGAGATGGAAGGAATGCAACAGGAAGCCAAAGCCCGAAGAGCAGCTGTGGTGGAAAGAGCCGCAGCAACCCCAGTCAAGCACCCTGAGGAAGGAAATGCCAACCTACTGTTTGCAGCCCGAGGATCTGCAGCTGGAGAAACTCCCGCAAGGACCCCAGTATCTACCGGTAAAGGAAAGTCCAGAGAGGAAAAGAAGAAGGAAAAGAGGACTGCCCGGAAAGAGGCCAAGAAGAGCAAAAAAAGCTGAGAAAGAGAAAAGGAAGCTGGAAGAAGCAGCAAGTCCTGGCAGCGTTCGGCGAAGACTGGATGCGGCAATGGATTGCGCAGGAAAGGACTCAGAGACAGAACGTCTCGAAGCTCTCAAGGAAGAAGAGGAGAAAAGAGCAGAAGCAGAGTCTCGGAAAAGAAAGCTTGAGGAGCTGGAAGAAAGGAAGCGGACTGTGGAAGCCGAGTCGAAGAAGAAGCAACAGGAACTTGAGGATGAAGCAAAGCGTATCCGTGCCGTGGAAGAAGCTGAGCGGAGCGCACGAGAACTTCAGGAAGCCAACCGCCACCCGAGTAAGATCGGATCTACGAGGAGGATTGGCCAGAAACGTGACATCAGTTGCGTGATGGCGAGGAATTTCTCCCAGGATGCAAGCCACCGTTCACCAAGACGTGGACACACGAAGTTGGAAAGCTTCTGTAT